TATATTGTGTGTGTGTGTGTGTGTGTGCGTGTGTTTGCGTGTATATATATATCAGGTAATTACGATTATATCAATTGATTATATAACTTCTAACGATCAGATAATCGAGACTTACCAGGCCATCGATCTCGACGTATTTAACGGGTTCATTATTTACACCCGGGATGTCTACATCTTCTACTGGTTGACTATTGCTCACGGCGGCTGCAGCTGAGAAATGCGCTCTGTTCTGATGGCTGTTGTAATTGTTGTTGTTATAGTTGTTGTAGTTGTTATTTCGGTTGTTGTTGTAACGGTCCCCCATGATGGCAGTTGTGTGCGTACGTACGTGACTGTATGCAACTGAGTGTATGCGTGTGTAGCCTAAACCGTATACACAACAAGCACGCTTGACGGCTTATACCCAGAGAGAAATGTTTGCTCCTAATCCTGTGACATCCATAGCCGTATGTGCACTAAATTGCATTACACCCAAAAATTCGACTCCAAAATATTTGGGCCCTATCAATTTGACCGCTCACAGAGTCACATGGTACCTACAAATAATCCTCGGAAACCGGAAAACGTAAATACTTCGGCATATAGGAAACGTACCTCAGCAGATAGAAAATTGGCCTCGGCAAATAGAAAACGTACCGATATATATAGAAAACGTAGAGGAAGTTGTACTAGAGAGAGAGTCTCCTTGTTCAGTGACAGAAATGTGCAGTTGCGCACACAAGTCAGCCCAACGCAGGATTCTGTGAGTAAAGTACCGAAGTGTTTAACTGTGCTAAAGCCCGCCAAAATAAGGCTGGCTGATGATGACTGATTAGTGATCTTTGTGTTTATTGTGTAGTGAGAAGGAACAAAATAACGACGATATACTTTGTAGTAGAAGTGTGTCTTGTATGCATGCTTGCATGGTTTATATCGCATACTATCCACAACGCAGACATACCCGCTATGCTGAACAGTTGTACTATATAACTTTTAAGATTTCACTATAGGAACCAAGGGATCGCATATACTTCGATTTGAGCAATCAATATACAAACTACCTCGTCGTTCATTGAAACGAAGTATATACAAACATCAACCCAATAACATAAGAGGATTATTTTAGCCCTTATAAATCCAATAACGTAACGAAGTATATACAATCATCAGCCCAATAACATAAGAGGATTATTTTAGCCCTTATAAATCCAATAACGTAACGAAGTATATACAATCATCAGCCCAATAGCATAGGAGGATTATTTTAACTTTTATAGATCCAATAACGTTAAAGCATTACAAACGTCCATAAATCCAACACCTTTGTATACCTCATGATGGGTGATGTTGCCGATGTTGACGATCTAATCGACTCTGTGGAGCAAGATGCGGGAGACGATGATATGCAGAAGGAACTCGAGGCCTTCATTCAGGTCTGTTATATAAAGGTCAACTGACTGAAATACTTAAACACGCTACCTGTTCGGTTTTATGTCGTATATATACTTATTTCATATCACACATACATTCTATGCACTTACCATGCAATAACTTTTGCGCTGTGTATATATTGACAATTTACCTATGGTATTCACTACATATTCTTGATTCTCGTGTTACACACGTAAGTGGGCTCTATCCGCGTGTAGGTATCGACTTCATCATTGTGAGTACGAGTCTATACCTATGCTCACAGTGCTATCATCTTTTTCATTGTACTTGTGAGACTATATATAGGCACATAGCATAGCGTCGCAT